CCGCGCACGAGGCCTTCAGCAGCTGGAGGGGCGTCTCCGCCAAGGTGAGGGGGCCGGGCGGGGCGCAGAGCGATGCCCGCGGGGCCGCTGTCCTCGGTCCTGGGCACGCGCCGGGCAAAGCCTGGGGCCGCGCAGGCCCGAAGTGTGCTGCCAAGTAGGTGGGGGCCGAACGGAGCCCGTGACACCAGTGTGTGTGGGTGTGAGTGCGCGTGCACCCAGGGGCTCAGGGAAGCAGAGAGCACGTGTGTCCCCGCCGGCCGCTGGCGCACTCCTGCTGCAGGGAGGCTGCGCGCTGGCCGCGAGGGTGCCGGGGCTGGAGTTCCCGACTGGGACGGCAGAGGGCGGCCTGGTGCCTGCTCCTGTGCTCCTGTGGCCTGGAAGGGGCAGGGTGCATACGGGGGCTGGTCAGGGACCCCTGGTCGGCTCCGTGACCCAGGGCCACAGCAGGTGGCTCACCAGCAGGGCACTGCCTCAGTTCTGAGGCCCAAGTCCAAGGTCAGGTGTGCAGGAGTGGTTCCTCCGCGGTCCGCCTCTGCCTGCAGACAGGCCTGCAGGGTCCTCAGGGTCTTCCCCGTGGCCTCCCCTCTCCTCCTAGGGACACTGGTCCCTGGAATAGGGCCCACCCTCACGACCTCGCTTTAGCTCCATCGCCTCTTTAAAGACCCCGGTTCCAAACAGGTCACGTCCCGAGGCACTGGGGGTGGGACTTCCACGTGTCACCTGCCCGTGGCACCAGGGCAGGCCTGGTTGGGGACAGCACAGATGTCTGGGTTAGTGAAGGCCTTTGGCAGGAGAACGCCAGTGCCCCGGTGCAGCTGGCTTCTGTTCTCAGCGGGCCCCGCACAGCGTGAATGACGGCCACACTGTCGTCAGGGCGGGTCTTTTTCACCCCTCCGCAAACTCCAACGCCCACTCTGACACGCCAGAAACGATGCTGTTCCCGCAGTGCCCCCAGCCCGGCCAGGTGACTCGCAAACCGGGCCATCACGCCAAGAGGTGCCCACACACCCACACAGCCGCAGGAGGAAGCCCCGTCCAGGTCTCACACGAGACACGTGGCCACTCATCGCACCTCGCCACTCTCTTCCAGGAGAGGAGTTGGTTACTTCGGAAATGGTACGATCTGATGATGCAGAATAAGGACGACCTCGCCAAGATCGTCACCGCTGAGAGCGTAAGTCCAGGTCTGCTCTCCCCAGAAAGCGTCGGGGAGCCCCAGCCCGGCAGAGAACTTAGGGAAGCCTCCGGCACCCCTAATGCCCGATGCAGCCAAAGAACGAGAGATTTCGCGTCTTCGATCCGATCCCACGTCATCACTGGGCCAGCTACACACATTGGCTACCATAAATTAGTATGCTTGTTCTAGCTTGTTCTTTAATTAAACGTGAAGCAGGGGCCGGCAGGTGGCGTGGTGGTCGAGGTGCCAGAGCCCCGTACTGTCAACCATGGTTCAAGTCCTGGTCCTGGTGGCTTGCTTCCTCACTCTCCCTTTCTCTCTCTCTGGTCAAATTAAATACCAATAAGAATATTAATAAAGCGAAGTAAATAATCATTTCTTTTTACAGATGTGAAGTCGTCTGGGACTATGCAAACACTGCTTTTGACCTTTCCGCTTTGTCCCGTGTGACTGTTTCGGTTGATTTTCTCATGGTGTCTCTGTCTGTTTTAAAACGGACCAGAAGTGCCTCTGTAGCTATGGTTCCAACATCTAGGCGACACGGGAAATATGAGAAGGCGCGGTCCCAGGTGGTGGCCACACCGGGCACGGTGGCTCCCGGGGACCCAGGTCCAGTGGCCAGGCTTACAGGCGTCGCCGTTTGTACTTCTGCCCGAAACTCACAGCGCATTAGACGTTCCCAGCACCCAGCGGGGTCGGTGCAGGGAGCCTGCTCCTCCACTGGTGGCCGTGAGGAGCACGGGCACCACCTCACTGTCATCGCTAGAGGGTGACACGTGTCCTCTTCTCGTCCCAGGGGAAGCCGCTGAAGGAGGCCCAGGGAGAGATTCTCTACTCGGCCCTCTTCCTGGAGTGGTTCTCGGAGGAGGCCCGCCGCGTGTACGGGGACGTCATCTGCACCTCGGCCAAGGACAGGCGGGCCCTGGTCCTCAAGCAACCCATGGGCGTGGCCGCCATCATCACCCCAGTAGGTGGCAGGGAGTGGGGCTGCCCGGCTGAGCCCGCGCCGGGCGTGGCGCCGTGCTCCCTCGTGCGGTAGCGTCGGGTGTGGCGTGTGAGTGGGAGGACGGTCAGCGATGGCCTGCAGGGCCGCAATGACCCCGTGAGGCCCAGGCGCTTCTCAGACCATGGCAGGCTCTAGCCTGGCGTTGCCGAGCACCTCGGAAAAGACCTGGCTTTATCATTTTGAAAGACTTCAGGTATGGCCTAGATTTTCATGTGCCTTAGTCTGGAGGAAGCTTATGCTTGGTTTATGGCGAACCTCAACAGCAAAGCCTGTGTGTGCCCACCAGCAGGCGTGGGCCAGGTTCTGGGCATGGGCAGCTGAGAAAGGAGGCCCTGTGTCCGGACCAGCCGGGGCAGGATGGCTGCCGCCCCTGGTCCCTGAACCGGGCGACTGCGCGGTTCCAACCTGGCGGCTTCTTCACATGCTGGGCATGTGTATACGTGTGCCCAGGTCCCGAGGGAATGGGGGAGAAGGGGCTGCAGTGCGGCATCCCCTGGCGGTGATTTCTCTCTCTCCTTCTGTCTCTCCCCACCCAGTGCATGTGCCCAATCTTTACAATTAAACAAGTAAAGAAAGGGACAGCCATGGCGTGGGCGCTCAGGCGCTGGGCTCCCACGTGTCTGAGCCCTAGACCGACCGCTTGCTTTCTCTCTCTCTTCGTCTCCCTCTGGTCGACCTGAAGAATAACAGTAATAGACAAAATTAAGTGAATAATTCTTTAAACGAAGAACAAGAGAGGAAGAGCTGAGACGCTGTGTGCGTGGGTGGGTCCCACCTGGGCTGGTCCCGTGCGGATTCCTCCCTGGTCCGCATCAGCCATTGTGGCTGCCCTTCCGGCCTGCTCCGCACAGTTACGGCGAGAGTCCCTGGCTGCTGGCTCTCCAGGGCCGACCCCGCGCTGGCGTCACCAGCCGCGTGGCTTTGGGAGTTACCGAGCTGTGCCGCCTCAGTTTCCCCAGACCTGCACGTGAGGGGGATCACACTGACCTCATCGGGCCAGGAGGAGGATTTAGCGAGTCCTGATTGGCACGTTCTAAGAGCAGCACCTGACGCAGAAAGGGCGGCTCTGTGAGTGTGTCCCAAGTGAGGTGCCGTAGCTAGGTGGGCGTCTGTGGGCATCTGGAGGCATGCGGGCAGGGCCAGCGTCCGTCAGCTGCGAGTCTCGGTGTCCCCACTGCCAGTATTTCCCTGCCGACTGGCTATGTCTGTAAGTAGTGTCACTGGGGCCCGGTCATGGCACGCTGTCTGGAGGCTTTCCGGGTACAAGGCAGGTGAGGAGGAGCCCCAGAAGGTGCCCACTCCGCAGAGCCTGAGCCCTGCGCTCCCTCGCCCTTACAGAAGGAGCAGGCTGAGCCCTGGGTGTGATCACTCGGCGGGGCGCTAGCCTGAAGGGCATTGCCATGTTTGAGCCTTGACCCCGCAGCCCTTGGTTGGCAGAGGCCGGGTGCTCCAGCCCCAGCAGCTCCCAGATGGTTGTGCAATGACTCCTGACCTGCCATTGGCCCACAGAGCAGGCCCTCCACTCACGCCTCTCTCTCTGACCCCAGTGGAATTTCCCCAGCGCCATGATCACGCGGAAGGTGGGGGCAGCCCTGGCAGCCGGCTGCACCGTGGTGGTGAAACCTGCTGAGGACACGCCCTTCTCCGCCCTGGCCCTGGCTGAGGTGAGTGCTCCCTCCCCCTGTGCTGGTACATTCTAGCCTGGGGCAGAGGCAGGGTCAGGGCCAGGCCGTGCAGGTGCCGCGCTGTCATCTGCCCAGCGATCACATCCGTCTGGTGTTGCTCCTTCTAGAAAAAAAGGAGAGAGGAATGGACAGGGCAGTCTCTGATGGCCACATGCTTTTCGGCCACTCACTATGAAAATAGTGTCTCCATCATCAGCAAAGAAGGGACCCCAAAGTGGGGGCGTTCCCATTTTGACCCCTCTCGTTTTCCACCCGGCCCCAGTGCAGGCTGCCTTTGGTCAGGTCAGATCCTTCTTGGGCTTGAAACCCTCAGCAGCTGCCCCTGCCTCTCACAGTCAAGCCCAGACTCCCCTCTGTAGCTTGTAAAGCCCTGGGAGACCTCACCCACCAGCTCTGACACCCCTCCGTCCTGGCCCGAGCCCCCAGCTCACCTGAGTGGGTGTCTGCTCGGACCACCAGCCCTGCCCTCCACGTGGTGGTCCCTCTCCCAGACGCTGACACCCCTGACATGCTGCCTCACCTCCACTCACTGCCTCCTCCTCCTCATTGGGGAGCCTCCCCGGCCACCCCACTTAAGAATCCCAGCCCCACACGGGATGCCCCACCCCTGTGCTGCGTTTCTTCCCAGCACCCAGCACTGACCCACCTGGTGGGCAACTCCATGACTTTCAGATTAAATGTCCATTTCTCTTTTTGTATTTTTTCTCTGTTTAATAACCTGCCACCACCTGTTCGCTGTGTCCTGTTCCAGCTCGCGAGCCAGGCTGGAATCCCCCCAGGGGTGTACAACGTCATTCCCTGCTCGCGAAAGAAGGCCAAGGAAGTAGGGGAGGCCATTTGTACTGACCCGCTGGTGTCCAAAATCTCCTTCACTGGCTCCACAGCCACGGGAAAGGTACGTGGCGTGAACACTGATGTTTTCCAGCATGCCCTCTGTCATATGTAGACATGCTTTTTCTACCTGGCCACAGTGGTGCAGCTGTCGCACCTCTGCAGTGCTGGGAGCCCCTGGGAGATCGGGGTCAGGTTTACAGGCCGCCCTGCACACGCTCCTGGGTGTGCGTGCCCGTGGCCCTGGCTGGCTGGGAAGACAGGGCCAGTGGTCATGGCCTGGGCCCTGTTACCATGCCTCCCTCTCTCTCTCTCTCTCTCTCTCAAGAAATAAGTTGAAAGTATACTTTTTCATATTTTTTAAGAATTTACTTATTTTTCTACTTACTGGTTGTGGTTTTCAGGCCACCAGGTCTGGAACTTGAACTGCTGTCAGCCACATGGGAGTGCACGTGGAGCGCCTTAACCACCAGGCCAGCGGCCAGCCCTTGTGCTTTTTCGTTTTGATCACCGTTTTCTGTTTGCTTGCTATAGGGACCATGCACTCTCCAGAGACACAGAGAGGGAGAAAGTGAGAAAGCGTGCCCAGGAGCACTGGCCCTGCTGCGGTCCCCCTCTTGGGATTTTAGGCGCGTGTGCACATGTGCCTGGTGAGCTTTTCAGGCCGCTGGGTCCGGGACTTGAACTGCACAGTTGCACCTTCACCTCCGCGCCACTGCCTGGTCCAGTCACAGTTGTTTCTTCTTCTAGCTTATTTTCCATGACAGAGAGCACAGCCTCCCACAGGGTCTTGATGCCCTGATCCGCCCCCAGCTTCAGCCGGCACCAGATCACGGGCTCACCCATGTCCAGCAAACTCTGGGAGGTCTCCGGACACAAACCCAGAACTTTCCCATGTGGGCCAGCGTAGAGCACTGCGTTTCGTGTCTGCGCACTGTGTGCGGCCCGGTCACCGTCCTTAGAGGGACTCCCAGCCCGATCCTGACAGCGCTTTTGAACACAGGGGTCTGCCCCCTCTCTAGGCTGCTTTGGGGCTGTCCCAGCTGTGCCGTGGCATGGGCCCGTGTGCCAGTCCCAAAGCGGCCAGTGGTGCGGCCGCCCTCATGCACGCGTTGCTTGTGTTGAAGTAGCTGAAAGCTGGCCACGGTCCTTCTTCGATTCTGGAACCCACATTTCCTAAATAATGTGGGATTCGTTTCTTAAAACACAGTTGATGGTGAAATGGGTGTCTCAGGGCTGAACAAGAGCGTATGAAGGTTCTTAAAAATTAGAGCTTTCCTGTCTGTGATGGCGTTTTTCCTTAAACATGGAAAAGCCCTTTCCTCAACACTTCGAATACGCGGCGTGAGTGGATTTTCATTCGTCTTTTAAATGTCCACAAGAGGACCAGCAGGCGGCGTACGGCTGAGACGTGTTCGTGTGCAGGTGGAGAGCGTGCCCTGGCTCCTCCTCAACCGCACCACCGGGGAGCGGGCATGTTCAGCTCGAGTACCAGGATCGTGAAGCCCAATGGTGAGGGGCTGGACAAGCCGGAGTCGGGCACGTCCCAGGCTCTGCTGGAACAGGAGAACTCGGACCTGAAGGCGCAGCTCAAGGAGCTGAACACCAGGCAGCCAAGGAAACTGGGGCCGGTGGAGGTTGGGAAGCTCTCGTAACCTTTGTTCCCGTCCCTCGACTGACATCCGTACAGAAAATCCACATGCGGCTGATACGCAAACTGGAGACAAATTCCGCGGGACGCCTGTGGTCTTCATTGCTCAGAGGAGAGTCCTGCCTAAGCCAGCTGGAAAAAGCTGCAGGAAAATAAGCCAAAGGGACCTGGGGCCAGGTGCTGACAGACGTGCATGGCGTGATGCTGGAGGACTGGGTCTTCCCAGGTCGCCCCACTGTGGGCGAGAGGGTCTGCATCAGGCTGGACGGCGGCCAGCTCACCCACGCTCACGGCCAGCACAGGGGACGGCGCCGAGAACAAGGTGCAAGCTTTCTGGGGTCTGCAAGAAGCTTGCAGGCAAGGATGTTATTTTGAATTCCCAGAGTTTCAGTTGTAAAGAAAGATGACTAAGTGGGGGGCATCCTGCAGGCGAGGTCTGAAAGTGCTGCAGAACCGAATCGAATCGTGTGAGCGGCGGGAGCAGCGGGAGGGGGTAAAGCAGCTGCCCCCTGTGTGAGAGCCCCCCCCTTGCCTGCAGGACGCCAAGCCCCCGGAGGTAGACAGTGCGGACTTCATGGTGGACAACGCCCGGCTGGGCTTCCTGGGTGAGCGGGGCCAGCCTGTCACACGCACGCCACACCGTTCATGGAGAACCTCATACCGGCTTGTTTTCTCTTTAAAAAAAACCACAGATGGCGTGCGTAATGGATACGTCACGGGACTCCCACGTAGTCAACCACAGTTCAAGTCCTGGGCCTGGTGGCTTAAAATTCATGCCAGGCGCATGTGCACGTGGGCCCACAATCCCGAGAGGAGAGCGGAGGAGAGGGGATTGTGGCGTGGCCACCCCCCGGGGTGATCTCTCATTCCCTGCCCGCTCTCTGTCTCCCTCCGCGAGCACCAGTGCCCTATAGCAGAGCAGAAAACAAGGATGGCAGAGCGGAGGCGCCAGGCCCGCAGCTGTGGCTCACGGCGTCTGCCCCGCCCGCAGGTCCTGCTGCACCACGCGGCCAACTCCGTGAAGCGGGTCTCCATGGAGCTGGGCGGCCTGGCCCCGTTCATCGTGTTCGACAGCGCCAACGTGGACCAAGCCGTGGCGGGGGCCCTGGTGTCTAAATTCAGGAACGCTGGACAGGTGAGGCCGGGGGTTGGCGGGCTGTGTTCCACCAAGGTCCTGCCCTGCCACGCCTGCTCGTCTCTGGGAAGGAGACCAGCCTGGGCAGCATGGCCCCGCGAGTCGAGTCGGCATGCGTGGCGGACCGCGTGGACTGCTGTCTCTGCTTAGACTTGCGTTTGCTCAAACCGGTTCCTGGTGCAAAGTGGGATCCACGATGCCTTCGTGGCAAAGTTTGCCGAAGCAATGAAGAAAAACCTGCGTGTCGGGAACGGCTTTGAAGAGGGGACCACTCAAGGCCCGTTAATTAATGAAAACGCCGTGGAAAAGGTGAGTTTACTTTACTACCTGTTAGTGAAGTTGATGGAAGTAAATGTCACCCTTTGACAGTGAAACCTTTTTTTTTTTTTTCGAGAGATTTTTGCCATAGAGCCCACGTACTTGCCAGAAAGACAGAGACAGAGAGACAGAACGCGAGAAATCACCCCCCAGGGAGGTTGGCCATGCCACAATCCCTTCTCCATTCTCATGGGATTTTGGGCACGCACACGCCTGCTGTGAGTTTTAAGCTGCCAGGTCCAGGACTGGAACCACCGTCGACCGTGTGGGAGTCCAGCGATGTGACCATTTCGCCATCTGGTCCCTCATCTCTGCTGGAAACTCATACCTTGATGACGTTTTCCCATAAACTCTTTGAAGTTCCCGTCTTTAGAGAGGACATCGTCACCATTTTGTCACTTAAACGCTCCGAGGACGCCATGGCGTCACCTGGCCAGCCCCCCGCCAGCTTCCCAGGCGCCCTGTCCCTCGTCACGCAGGTGGAGAAGCACTTGAGTGACGCCGTCTCCAAAGGGGCCACCGTCGTGACGGGCGGGAAGCGGCACCAGCTCGGGAGGAACTTCTTCGAGCCCACCCTGCTCAGCGGCGTCACACAGGACATGCTCTGCTCCCGCGAGGAGACGTTCGGGCCCCTGGCGCCGGTCATCAAGTACGGGCCAGCAGGGCGGGAGGCCGCGGGGAAGGCTGGGCACGGTCAGTGGGAGGGGGCTTAGGGTTTTAATCGTCCCTGGTGTAGACCACACACTGTCACTTCTCCCATCTGCTGGACTGAGCTTTCTTTTCTCTAAGTTTATTCACTTATTGCTTCCATGAGAGGGTGCTAGAGAGACGGGCATCCCCCAGTAGGGTCTTCACCCACAGCACAGCCTGCTGGGGTCACGGGCCCACGCGTGTGCAGGCAGGCCCTGGGCTGCCACGGTGCACCCTGGCCCCTGGTTCTCTGCCTAATGGAGAACGCCCTCTCAGGCCCTTCCTGGGACTCGGCACGTCCAGGAGGATGCCATCCCCTGGATGGAAGTCCGGGCCGCCCCCCGCGAGCTGCTGCCTGCCTCACGCCCATGGCCCGCTTCCTCGTCCCCCCACAGGGATGACGCAGGGTGACGGCGGGCGAAGGTCTGAGGGCGGCAGCCATCTCCCTGTGCTCGCCCGGACGGCTCTGCAAAGCCCTGGTGTTCCGCGTGCCGTGGGGGACGCGGGTGCGGAGGTGAGAAAGCTGGGCTCTGCCCCGGGGTCTGCTCATGTGCTGTCTTGACCTTGGCAGGTTCGACAGGGAGGAGGAGGCTGTTGCCATTGCCAACGCCACAGAGGTCGGGCTGGCAGGTGGGTGTCCTCGCCGGGGGCAGGCTGCCCTGTGAACACATCCTGGGTTTGCAAAAGAAACGTCAGCAGAGGCTCCTCCGGCATCGTGTGCGACAGTGCCAACGTGGACCAAGCCGTGGCGGGTGCCCTGGTGTCTAAATTCAGGAACGCTGGACAGGTGAGGCCGGGGGTTGGCGGGCTGTGTTCCACCAAGGTCCTGCCCTGCCACGCCTGCTCGTCTCTGGGAAGGAGACCAGCCTGGGCAGCATGGCCCCGCGAGTCGAGTCGGCATGCGTGGCGGACCGCGTGGACTGCTGTCTCTGCTTAGACTTGCGTTTGCTCAAACCGGTTCCTGGTGCAAAGTGGGATCCACGATGCCTTCGTGGCAAAGTTTGCCGAAGCAATGAAGAAAAACCTGCGTGTCGGGAACGGCTTTGAAGAGGGGACCACTCAAGGCCCGTTAATTAATGAAAACGCCGTGGAAAAGGTGAGTTTACTTTACTACCTGTTAGTGAAGTTGATGGAAGTAAATGTCACCCTTTGACAGTGAAACCTTTTTTTTTTTTTTCGAGAGATTTTTGCCATAGAGCCCACGTACTTGCCAGAAAGACAGAGAGACAGAGAGACAGAACGCGAGAAATCACCCCCCAGGGAGGTTGGCCATGCCACAATCCCTTCTCCATTCTCATGGGATTTTGGGCACGCACACGCCTGCTGTGAGTTTTAAGCTGCCAGGTCCAGGACTGGAACCACCGTCGACCGTGTGGGAGTCCAGCGATGTGACCATTTCGCCATCTGGTCCCTCATCTCTGCTGGAAACTCATACCTTGATGACGTTTTCCCATAAACTCTTTGAAGTTCCCGTCTTTAGAGAGGACATCGTCACCATTTTGTCACTTAAACGCTCCGAGGACGCCATGGCGTCACCTGGCCAGCCCCCCGCCAGCTTCCCAGGCGCCCTGTCCCTCGTCACGCAGGTGGAGAAGCACTTGAGTGACGCCGTCTCCAAAGGGGCCACCGTCGTGACGGGCGGGAAGCGGCACCAGCTCGGGAGGAACTTCTTCGAGCCCACCCTGCTCAGCGGCGTCACACAGGACATGCTCTGCTCCCGCGAGGAGACGTTCGGGCCCCTGGCGCCGGTCATCAAGTACGGGCCAGCAGGGCGGGAGGCCGCGGGGAAGGCTGGGCACGGTCAGTGGGAGGGGGCTTAGGGTTTTAATCGTCCCTGGTGTAGACCACACACTGTCACTTCTCCCATCTGCTGGACTGAGCTTTCTTTTCTCTAAGTTTATTCACTTATTGCTTCCATGAGAGGGTGCTAGAGAGACGGGCATCCCCCAGTAGGGTCTTCACCCACAGCACAGCCTGCTGGGGTCACGGGCCCACGCGTGTGCAGGCAGGCCCTGGGCTGCCACGGTGCACCCTGGCCCCTGGTTCTCTGCCTAATGGAGAACGCCCTCTCAGGCCCTTCCTGGGACTCGGCACGTCCAGGAGGATGCCATCCCCTGGATGGAAGTCCGGGCCGCCCCCCGCGAGCTGCTGCCTGCCTCACGCCCATGGCCCGCTTCCTCGTCCCCCCACAGGGATGACGCAGGGTGACGGCGGGCGAAGGTCTGAGGGCGGCAGCCATCTCCCTGTGCTCGCCCGGACGGCTCTGCAAAGCCCTGGTGTTCCGCGTGCCGTGGGGGACGCGGGTGCGGAGGTGAGAAAGCTGGGCTCTGCCCCGGGGTCTGCTCATGTGCTGTCTTGACCTTGGCAGGTTCGACAGGGAGGAGGAGGCTGTTGCCATTGCCAACGCCACAGAGGTCGGGCTGGCAGGTGGGTGTCCTCGCCGGGGGCAGGCTGCCCTGTGAACACATCCTGGGTTTGCAAAAGAAACGTCAGCAGAGGCTCCTCCGGCCGTCGTCCAGGTGGCCAGGGTGGATGTGTTCAAACACATGTTCTGTCACCTCGTGCCCGTGACACACATCAGGGCCCGGTCACGGCTGGGGGCGCAGAGAGGGGCCAGGCCACGCAGTTGCTCAGGGTTGAGAGCACACCTCCACACACATGGCCTCGGAGGCTCCACGCCGAGGACCTGCCAGGAGCTTCCCCTTCGTCCCCCTGGCTCCTGAAAGCTGTCAGGACGGCGGGGGGGGCGGGGCCGGCGGGGGCCAGTCTCTCTCCTAAGTGAGCACCCCAGGGCGGGTGAGGACAGCAAGATGCAGCCGCCCTCTAGAGGTGCCTGCAGGTGCGAGAGCGGTTTCCAGACAGGAAGGGCCGCCGGGCCCTGGGTCCTCCTTGCACAGAGCCTTGGGGAGGCTGCAGCGAGGGGCAGGCACGGATGCCAAGCTCAGCGTTGGCTTCGTCCTTTCTCGGAGGGATGAGGTGGCAGGAGCCAGGCCACCAGCCAGGTCCTGCCCGATGGGCAAGACCAGAGCGCAGAAAACCAGAGCTGGGGGGGCCCGCTACAGCCCACAGCGGGGAATGGGGGCACGGGGGCCTGCTACAGCCCACTGCTGGGGACTGGGGGACAGGGGAACGGGGGGGGGCTGCGGGGTGGGGCGGGCGGGGAGGGGGCATCGGGATGGGGGGAGGACAGTGTGGGGCTTTCTCTGGGGGGTTCCAGTGGTCAGTGGCACCCTCGGCCCTAGACAGGGCGCCCTGGTGACCATTCCGCACGCCACCTCTGTCCTTTCCTCGCGCCCACAGGCTACTTCTACTCCCAGGACCCAGCGCAGATCTGGAGGGTGGCGGAGCAGCTGGAGGTGGGCATGGTGGGCGTGAACGAGGGCCTGATCTCCTCGGTGGAGTGCCCCTTCGGAGGGGTGAAGCAGTCAGGCCTGGGGCGCGAGGGCTCCAAGTACGGAATCGATGAGTACCTGGAGGTGAAGTACGTGTGCTATGGGGGTCTGTAGCCGCCGGTGGCGGGAGCAGCGCCTGCTGGGACTGGCCCTGTCTGGGTGGGCTTGCGGCCATCTGGACCTAAGTTTAAGCAGCCCCCCCATACCCCGTAGCTACCTAGGGACCAGCCCACGCACACCGCCTGGCAGCGGCTGCAGATCGGGAGAGCCGGCCCTGGGCTTAGAGGGAGCCCGGGGCTACAGAGCGCGGCCTGGTGGGAGGGAGGCCAGCCCTTGGCTGGTCATGGCCAGGGCAGTAGCACACCTGCCTCCCGAGCGGCTCCCACCTGGCCCAGACACTTTGCGGGGAACCCCTGAGCGTGACAGAGTGGAGTCGGGACCTGGAGCCCGCTTCCCTGGCCCTACGAGCCCAGCAGAGACACTGCCGTTGCCCGGAGCGTCACAGAGGTGGATAGACATTCCTTGACGACTTCCAAAGTCACAGGCTCCTGGACTGCTGAGCAGCGAGGTGACTCCGGGACTGTCTGCGACCAGTCACCAGGTCTTCAGTGTCCCGCGGCTCGCGCTGGGCCGTCCCCGAGCACCCGGCTGCACCACCCAGGCCTTCCTGCACAGTGGGCTTCGGGCCGGCTCGGCTCCTAGGTGCCTGGGAAGAGAGGAGGGGCCAGGGCTTGGCCTTGAAAGAACACGCCTCGGCTTCCACCCACACCGCAGGGCCGCCCTGGAAGGGCCGCAGTGTCGCCCACTGGCTTTAAGCACGACTTGACCTCGAGCAAGCGTGAGCCTTGATCCTCCCGGAGCGCAGGAAGTCCAGGTCGGAAGTAAATGCTGACAGCGCTCTGACCTTCCTCCCTGGAGGCAGGCCCGTTCTAAATAGCAATAGCGTTTTTACTGAATAGCAGTCTCACTGTGATCGGTCTGTGCTCTGCCTTGCGGGCTTAGACTCGGGGGAGAACTGTGGTGACAAATGGAAGCTTGTGCGGTTTAAGTGTGTGCATCGCTCATTTCTGTCCGTCTCACAGACGGTGTAGTGTCTAGCCGCAGAGTAGTGTGTGTGCTTAATAAAAGTGAACTAACACGTCCCGCCCTGTGCGGGCTCAGGTCTCGTTCCTGCCAGGCCGTCGGGTGGTCGGATGGCGCCGGAGGGCTCCTCGCTGGAAAGCCGTGAGCAGGAGAGGGCTGCAGGCAGGAGCCAAGCCGACTGCGGCCCATCCGCCCGGGCCGGCCCCGGGGAGCGCC